GAGCTTAGGAGGCTAATAAGAAGAGGTGTGACATGTTTGTTTTAAATTAACCTTAATTGCATGGCTAGGCCCCGGACCTCCTAGCTCCCCCCGAAATATATATATTTCGCTATTCTATTTTCAGTGTTAGTACTTAAGCTCTACAATACATAAGTACAATTCAAGAGAATCTGTTTGGGCTGTTGAATTGTACTTGTTCGTTTAAAGCTTCACAGTCCATATGACCTGGTGTGGAGTTTCTTCGACAAAACACGGGTTGCTCATTGCCCATGACTTTGAACATTCAAAATAGGCACATTTTGGGGATGGATTAAAATGATATACAATCTACTACAGTTTCTGGAAACAAGAGCATTTGCATCCCCCCACCTTCCCCTTGAGATTACAGTGGTGACTTCTCTTACCTCCCTCCCAGTTCTGGAAGTGACTTGCTTGAATTTGAGACTTAGTCCTATGTCTCTCTGGTCTTTTGGACAAAGAATCCCCCCGGCCTTTTCCCCCACCAGGGCTGAAGAACCTGTGACCCTCCAGATGTTGTTGCACTACAGTGCCCATCATCCCTGACCATTGACTCTGCTTACTGGGACGGATGGTAGCTGGGAGTTCAACATCTGGAGAGCCACAGATTCCCCATCTCTGCTTTATATCTGCAATGTGTCTGGACATAAAGAAGCAGGGCAAACCTCACTGAATTCCATTTCCATTCCACATACAAGATACGGTCAGATATACTCATGGCCAGTCTCATGCTCTGTCAGTGGAAGAATGTTTGATTTGGAGATGAATAAAAATAACTTAAGTGTTTTTTGCCTCAAAGGATTGAAATTGCACTTCCTCCACTAGCAGTCTCATTTTACAGTAAAAAAGCAACTGAAACAGGCTAATGTGAATTTGTTTCGTTTTATTAGATGAGCAAATCCAGCTTAATTAGATCTTTGGCTGTCTATCTTTGAAATTAAGAGAACATTATATTTGCATAAAATATGCAATATGCATTTTGCAGAAACAAAATAGAGGAAATTTTGACACTTTACATAAATATCACGCAATTAAATGTCAGGTGCATACAAACAGAGTAAACATACATGCATATATTTTGCCTAGGCTTATTTGAAGTATCTGAATAATCATAGAGGCAGCCTCACACTCAACAATAGTGTTGAAATGTAGCACTGACAGTTTCTTCCTATAAATGGCTACTCATTAGGAGAGCCAGAGCTCAAGCAAATAACTCTAGATGGTGAGAATTAGGAAGGGCCATGGCTCAGTGGTAGAGAACATGATCTGCATGCAAAAGGTCCCATGTTCAACTCTCCAGGTAGGGCTGTGAGAACCCCTGCTTGAAACCATAGAGAGCAAGTGCCATTCAGTGGGTACAGGAACAGTCACACTCAGTATAATGTAACTTCCTATGCTCCTATTGTATTTATGTATGTATTTATATCCCAATTTCCATCATGGAATCCAAGGTTTATGCAAACATATGGCTCTCCAGACACTGAGCCGACCCAAGCCTGCTTAGCTCCTGCAAAGCAGTAGCCTCATGTGCCTTCAGACCCAGTGTGGCCTGGGACCGTTTATCCAGCATATATTTATTTCCATTCAAGCAGTTTGTCCATGGACACGGCCCCAGAGATCAAACAAGAGAGCCAATGGCATATTTGACATTCAGGTAGACCCATTAAAATCATTGGCTCCTCACTTAGTCATGTTAACTACAGTGGGTCTGCTCTGAGTAAAACTTTGTTGAGAACTTTCAGCCCCAGGTTCTAAGACTGGGCTGAAATCATTCCTTCAGGTGCGGGTTTTTTTTGGGGGGGGGAGTCTCCCTATGAAAATAGGGGGGGGGGTTCTTCTGCTTTCTTGGCAGGGGGAGAAGAATTTCTTTGACATTTTCAGTTGGTGGTTGCCACTTACCTTAATGCGTCTCGCGAGGAAATGCAGGCAGCAGGTAGTAGTGACAAGGGCCTAGTATTGTATCACACCAACTGGATTTCCGAGAATCCATTGGGAGCTATGTGATGTGCAACTATGCGGTATTGTTCCCAAGGCTTTCTGGGATGAGCAGGTGGCCATAAGCTGTGGAGAGAGCTTTGCACCACAATGAGTAGCTTCTTTTTTCAAGTTAGAAAATGGAAAACCTTTGGTCACATCACAAGGTGGATTAAGATAAGTGGCAACCTCATTCTGCCCTGCTGCCCAGGTAAATTTTGAACTACTAAATTAATGTTACATTTCAATTACAATGGACTACCCATTCTCCTAGGGTGCAAGTGTCTTTACAGGTGTGGAGCGCCAGTAATTGTATGAATGCTACCACTATAAAAATTCAAGAACTGGGCTGTTCCACTTCAATGCCATAAGGCCACTGTGAATATTCCTAGTACAGGAACAAAGTGGTGCAGCTGCAGCAATATATTAGCCATTGTAAATTGGAGTTTAATTGTCTCCTTCACCACAAAATATATTTTGCAGTAGCTGGACAGTAGACCTCTTAAAGATGTCACTATTACTCAGAAGCACCTAGACCTTTAGAAAGTCATAACTCATCAGCAATGCGCCAAGTGCTTCTGGGAATTTGCAAAGTATAAGAGGTTAAACTGATAGCAGCACACAATGCTCTGCATAGGACAGCACAGTTGTAAGGTTTTTTCCTCCTGTTTGTTAACCATATTTTTCCTTTCTACCAGAATACATCATCTGTGGGAATTATTCAGATGAGTAGCTTGGGGGAAGATTGCTGGATGCACAGGGACAACTATTTTGACCTATTGTATTATTTTATAACCAGTGTAATAACCTCAGAGCAGCGTAACTGCATATATAAAACTTCATGATGTGATATGCTGCTTGGTCTCAGGACTGTTAATTAGATGGTTGCTGAAACAGCCTGTATTCTCATCCAGCAAGCCACTGTGGGTGCTTTCTACTACTGCACTGTACCAATTGTGGGGCAATGGGACACCTAGTGTTGTATAGCCAAGACACCAATTTTAACATAAGCTTCACCCTGGGAAAACACTCATGAGCCTATGGGTTTTTTCCTCCCTTTACTTTAATTAGCAATGGGTGCTAGTTAAAGACCGTTGGAAGTTATTCTGGCACCTAAAGTAGAAAATTACATAAGCATCCTTCCCTATAAGTAAAAATACAACAAAAACAACAAAAATAACAATAGGCTACCATTTTATAGTACAAAAATTCAGCTGCCTACTGGTAGGGCCGGCCCTGGCAGTTTGACCTGTGCCATAACAGTGACTACATATAATGATGAGCTGTACATTTTCTGGCAGATCTTATAGGAAAGAAGCCACAGCGTGCTTTGAAACTATTGTCGCTAACGAAAGCTGACAGCTGGGAATGTTCCTATTTGGTGTTTCTGATACACACCGTTTTTTTGTTCCTTTGTTTTTAAATGTTAGGGATGTTTTGACATCTTTAGTGGAATAAAAAATTAATATACCTCTTAAAATGTTCAGATTAAACAGCTGCCAAATTTTCATTTTTGTTAAGCTGCTTTCACTTTTTGTTGTTGCTGTCGTTCCTTAAAAAAAAAAACAAATCACGAATCTTGGGGTGAATTAAAAATTCATGACCTCTGCACAAGGGTTGGTTCGTGAACTAAACATGCATTGCTCACATGAATACAGCGCATACAGATATCCTCAATAGGCCGACTTTTAAAAAGGTAAAACTCAAACTACCCTTGGAAGGCACATTTCAAGTGATGTATTTGCATGCAAAATGACCATTAGCCAGGGCAAGAAAGTGGATCAGATTGTTCAGAAACCATGCAAGCTGCACCAATACTCATGTGAAGAGGGTCACAGTGTAGCCCCGCACCAGTTGCACCTGTCCCTAAAGTGTGGATGTGTGATGTACAGATACGGAGCTGGGGTTGAATACACCTTCCTACTGATTATGGACTCTTTTGTGAACCTGTTGTTGCTGCTTTTTATGGGTAATAGTGCTTAGGAGTTTATTTCCCTCCGTCATTCTTCTAACTGGACTTACAAATGTAGCATTCTTCAGGATTACTTTGAGAGGTTGTGTGTGTCCCTTTTAGTCTCCTTTTGATAATACTAACTCTTCCTCTATTCATTCCCAAAGGCTTACAGCTTGAAATCTGAGTTAATTTATTAAGCCCCTGTGGGCCACATCCAATATGGAAAATCTCTGCTTGAACAATGCACTGAAAAATGAGAATGTTAAATTGCGGCTTTAGATGAGAAGTCTGCAGTCACTAAGTGCCTTGGTTTTCCCCAAATTAATGATTTGAGAATAACAAAAATGCCAAGGAGCAAATCAGTGCCAAGGACAAGTGTATGACGGGGGAATTATTGCAAGTTTTGGAAAAGGAACTGTGTAAAAAAAAGAAACAAAATGATGTTTAGTGTAAAAACCTTTATGATCATATTTCTCCCACAAATGGTTCTCTCTCTCTCTCTCCAGTTGAACTAGCATAACTCTAACCATTATATTTCCAGACTTTAAAAACAAAAACTTCTGTTAAAAGTCATGGTAAAAAAAGAAAAGCAACCATTACAGTAAAAATGATTCAGTATTTACTTTTGCTTTGGCCGGCTCCATCGTAAAAGATGGCAGCTATGGAATGTGACGAGGTTTTGAGGTGCTTTAAGACATAGATATATTTATGAATTGCTTCCCATAAAATCAAATAATTCCATATATAAACAATGGAGCGATATTCAACTAAATAGTTGTGCTAGCCCAATAGGATTTACTCCTTTCTCTGCCCACTGTGCATGCCCCATACTATTCCAAAAACTGCTGTGGAGAGCCAGTGTGGTGGTAGACTTGTAATCTGGTGAACCGGATTCGCGTCTCCACTCCTCCACATGCAGCTGCTGGGTGACCTTGGGCCAGTCACACTTCTTTGAAATCTCTCAGCCTCACTCACCTCACAGAGTGTTTGTTGTGGGGGAGGAAGAGAAAGGAGAATGTTAGCTGCTTTGAGACTCCTTCGGGTAGTAATAAAGCGCGATATCAAATCCAAACTCTCCAGAGGGGTGGGGTAACCCCCAGAACAAATTTAGGAGTTGCAGAGGGGAGAAAATGTTGCATTACACAAAGAGATATCCTTGTGGTGATGGGATGTTCCTCTTAGCACTACGCTGAATACAGCCCAATTCAAAGCAATTATTCTGCAACCTTTTACCAAATAAGAAAGTCATGAAACAGACTTTGCAACAGGTTATTTCTAGATTGAACTACTATCAGATTTTCACATATATTTTCAGCAGTGTTGAAAATGCTCCATGCTGTTTTGACTATTTTTGGCACGTGTGTGTGTGTGTGTGTCTTCCTGCTCATGCACATAGACTGCTTTTATTCTTATTTTCTTTCCTTGCCGAGCCCTCAGCAAAGTTGTCACACAGCCAAATCTGGCTGCATGGCATCCTGATGCTACTATTAGTTGCATCGTGCTACTGTTAGTTGGTGCCATCTGTGTAGTGAATCCAGATAGACAAAAGGTGTGTACATGTTGTGTGTGTGTGAAACGTTGTCAAAGGAGCAGCAAACATGGGGAGGAATTGGCAAAAAAAAAAAAGGAACATTAAATCAAACTGCTTTTTTGTTTTTTAGTTCTGGTTTGTTGGTCTAAGGGTAGGTGTGCTTCTTGCTTTGGGTGAAAGAGGTCAATTTCCAGGCAAGGTTGTGTCTCCAGGGGAAAAGTAGCCATTTTTTAAAGAAAGTTGTTAGTTCTTATATTCCATGAAAATATTTATATTCTTTTGCAGTATCTTTTTTAAAAACCTCTAAATAGAAACTATGGAAAGTTAAGTGAAGCCTTATCTATCTAGCTGCCTTGCTATGTCATAGTGTAACTGCATAACTGGAAATAAAAGCAAATTTAAAAACTGCTGCAAAAAAATCTGCCTTACAAGAAATCTGGATGTCCTGGTCCAACAAAGAAAAGACATATATTGTTTTTTGCTCCAGCATAATAATTTTGTTATAACACAAAGCAGAGTTCCTATTACCAGCATAATCCTCTGTGTGCCTACTCATGCCCTACTAAATCCCATGGAATTTTCTTTTGAGGAAACGTCTTTAGGATTTTGTTGCATGTCTGAAAGATCTTCCTCCGTCGCCCTTTTTAACCTGAAACAAATCCCAGACAGAGACTTATCATCATGTCCCTATTTAGAAATGTGTGCCTCCCTACTCCCCACCTGCTGCCAATTTTAGTTGCTGCTGATTCCCAGGTGCTTTGGGATTGGTTCATGTGGCTGCAGTTCTTTAAATGTTATGGCAATGATACAGTATGGACTCCTAGGACAGGTATTTTTCTACAGCTTCTTACAGTGTGAAGGGCACCTTCGTTCTATCTAGATCTGAGATATTTTAAGTATCTTAAATATCTTCACACCAATTCATTCATTCATTCCTACAGTAAAAAAAAAAAGTCCTGTTGCATCCCTTATTGCTTTGTGCTTATCTGCCCTTATTGCTTTGTGCCCTGCACCGTGCCACTGCAACTAGCCATCCCTGCTTTGGTATAAAATTAAGCATGCCCCTCCTTTCCCAGTGATTTAATACAACAGTTGTATTTTAAATAATCAGCTTTCACCATTGATTTACCATATTACTCACCATACTCAATCAAAATGACATTTTAAAAAATCATTGTTTATGAGAGCTTTATGTCGCAAAATTGTGTTCTGTCTAAATAAATAAAAGGGGGGATTTCTCCCCCCCAAATATAACAATTTTTGAACTTCTCAAATAAGTTACCTAATTATTTGCTACATATTTCTTCTTGGAGAAATTGCATTTATTGCACTAAATAATTGGTCTAAACACAGCTACTTTTGCCCTGAAGCATGCATTTGCTTAAACCAGCTAACTGACAGATTTGAATGCATTCCAATCACATGCAATTACCAATTAGAAGGAGAAATGTAATAGATGCCCTGACTGACTTATGCTGCAAGATATAGAAAAGAGGTGAGGAACATGAGATCTTCCAGATATTGTTACACTGTGACTCTCACGAGGTCTATACAGCACAGCCAAGAGTCAGCCCCTCCATGCACAATAAAATTGTGGATGAGCATGGGCTTATTATGGACTGGCAGTCAGCAACACCACCACCAAACCAGAGAGCTCAGTGGATATGCTACCAGTACCTTCTTGATGGGTGAGAGGACTGGAATTAGGAACAGAGACCAAACATCTAGGCTTCCACCCCAGATGGCAGTCATCCCCTCCAATCTGAATCTAAACTTCCCTCTGCCCGTGACCAATGAGACTGGGGCAGTATTTTCACAAGTCCCTGCTACCTGCCCTCCCAGACATATTTGAGGACCGTCATCCATCACTACATACAACTGGGAGATTAGACCACAGAAAGTCAATTTAAGGCCTAGTAGTATGCACATCTCACATGTCAGGAGAAAGATGGTAAGTCCACAACTACACTCCTCTCCATGCCTCTCCCTCAGGGGGAACCGCAACAAACCAAACTTCCCATGAACCAGGCTTTCCCCCTGGGTGAGGGTCATGGGCCTTTTTGTGACAGTACCTGACCTGCAATTCTATACCCTGACTGACCAAGGAGGGCAGGTTAACCCCTTTGGGATGCCATCTCTACCTATAGCAGGGCCTGTTGTTATAGTAAGGTAGGCTCTAGACTACACTCATTTAGCCAGCAGTCCAACCCCAACACACTAAACAGTACACACTCTTTCCTGCAGGTAGATCTCTTACTGGACAAGAAAACTGACACGGGCAAGCAACACACACTCTTGGCTTGCTAGGAGATAGACCAGGCAGGGACTAGGATAGCCCCTTCCTATTTAGTCCTTCTGTAGTTTTTAAACTTTAGTGTTTAAACTCTGCTGGAAAGCATTTAAATTGGACAGTTTTTTCTCTATTTTGTTTTCTTCCTGAGGTGCTGTTGCATTATCCTCTTGGTCTTGTCTTCTGTTAGCCACCGTTAAGTATGCGAAGAAAGGTGGGGTTAAAATGCTTTTGATAAAAACTCTTGGGCAACCCTATCTTGCTCATTTTTCAACCTCGGTGCAGACCATGTTGTGCATGTAAGCAACACATGAAGTCTTCTGAGTCTGCACACACGCCACCTGTATCTCTGTCCAGGACTATCCAGGTTATTTGAGTTCAAGAACATGCATAACATCACTGCTTAGAGGAAACAGAGAGCATAGAGATATAAAAGGAGGACACTGCCCTTCCATTCTCTGCAATAATTCATTGTGTTGCCCTCTTTAAACATTAGCGCTCACCATCTCTGCAGCAAAATGCTTCTCTGTTGCACATATAAAGGTCTGCTAGTGAGCATGATGCAATAATACTCTGCTCTCCTGGTAACTGCCTATGTGTTTAGCCATTCTTTTCCGTGTCTACTGTGCATGTGTATATTAATTGTTTAAACATTTATGGTCTGAGGATGCAAGAGGATAGATTGTGTGCCCAATAGCACTGACATATCTATCTCTCTGGGTTGTTGTTGTTTCTCTCCCTCTCTCTCTCTCTCTCTCTCTCTCTCTCTCACACACACACACACACACACACACAATACATGCACTTGCATACCTTTAAAGGTGAGTAGGCAGTTAAAGAAAACCAGGGCCAGGTCGGGTCTCTTGCAAAAATGATAGTGGGTACACTCCAATGTGATTATGCTGAAAGAGATCACAAGCACATCAATAAAAATAAAATCAGCCCTGCATGCTGTGTTGTACTTCAGCACCTATTGTGAAGTCCTGTTTTTCCTTTTTTTATATAAAAAGGGAAAGAAAATACTGTTAGTTTTCAAAAGGTTTTCAGACTGTCACATTTGACACTATTTATTTAATACCGCTGTTGAAAAGGAGAACTACAAAGGATGTCTCACCAAAGATTTGAATTATGATGAACATCCCTTTCCAGTGCCTATCCGTTGTAGACAGCATTGTCATCAACAGCCTCAAAATTATCTGCAGCCATGCAGCATGGATATCTTAAAGGAATAAAAGCCCAGCAATTACACAAGAGCAAGATAGGAGCACGTTAGAAGTATCCACTCTTCTGCTACATAAATGCTAGGATGCGAGAAATCTGCTTCATACAAGACGACCAACTCATTATTTTTTCTATACAGTTTGTCTTGCTTTCAAGGTACACATGTTTCCATGATAACAGAGACAGGCAAAGTGGAGGCAAAAGCTTTTAAAATTCTGTTGAAGAAATACACAATGCACTCCTCTGGCACTGTGTATGCTTGCTAGAAACAGCTGATGGCCTAAATACTGGTGAGAGTATAAGAAACATTAAAAGAGCCCTCGTAGAATCGAGGATCATCTAATTCAACCGCCTGCAGTGCAGGAGTCAGTGCAGGATTGAATCATCAGCCTGTTTAGGCCATCACTACCCTAACTGCAGGGATGCAGGTGGCGCTGTGGGTTAAACCACAGAGCCTAGGGCTTGCCGATCAGAAGGTCGGCGGTTCGAATCCTTGTGATGGGGTGAGATCCCGTTGCTCGGTCCCTGCTCCTGCCAACCTAGCAGTTCGAAAGCACGTCAAAGTGCAAGTAGATAAATAGGTACCGCTCCGGTGGGAAGGTAAACGGCGTTTCCGTGCGCTGCTCTGGTTCTCCAGAAGCGGCTTAGTCATGCTGGCCACATGACCCGGAAGCTCTATGCTGGCTCCCTCAGCCAGTAAAGCGAGATGAGCGCCGCAACCCCAGAGTCAGTCACGACTGGACCTAATGGTCAGGGGTGCCTTTGCCCTTTACCTTTACCATAACTGCACACCTATGGAAATGGTTTGGTTGCTGATTGATTTTGTAGATATGTAGGCCCTGCCCCTATCTCTCCAAATGGAGGAGTAGCAAGAAGGGGTGTTCGCTCTGGTCGACCGTGGTCACACTCAACCCCTCCCTCCCAGTTGCATACTGATAGGCTGGGGGTGGAACAGAGCAGCAATGGGAGCAAAAGCTTGGAAGTCGGGGAAACTTAAAAGTGCTTAGCATCTGCTGAACCATGCCCTAGGATGCAGTCTCCCAGAAGAAGAGGAATAAATAATTGGCAAGCCTTTTCAGTTGAAAGAGCAGGATGCAAATGCTTAAAATGACGAAAATGGATGTAGATTTTGCAGCTAAGCTTAAAAATAGCAATGGGAAAGAGTCTGAAGGAAACCATCTCGCCTTCCAGAGGCATCAGAATAGATGTAATTATTATTTTTATCTTGAATTGCTATGGGTCTTTAATTAAAATACTTAAATTATAGGTAATAACCATTACCTATATTGATTTTATTTCATTAATCAAATTGCTACCTTTTTGCATCCGTTTGATTGGCACTCCATTTCAGTCCCAGCCACAAGTCTTTCCCACCCCCTCCATGTGTAACTTTTAATTATACATGACCTTTTGGCAATAGCTTCTGTAAAGGAATGAAAAATCTTTGTCTCTAGACTCATTACTCATGCATATCTTTTAAAGCCAAGACAAAAGTTCTGTACTAGGCCTAATGCTTGGCCATAGCTTAATATAGAACAATCTATCACACCTAAAATATCTTTTCTAATTATCACATGTCTACGTCTGTTCCAATATATATGTTGTGCATATTCCTTTTTCTTCCGAAGTATAGATAGGAGAGTAGACATTTTTAAAGTGCATTTAATTGGACTGCAAAGAATGTGGTCGGCCTTGTTAGCTCTCTGCTTTTGCACCCAGTTATGTAGCTTATTAGGGACGTGGGTGGCGCTGTGGGTTAAACCACAGAGCCTAGGACTTGCCGATCAGAAGGTCAGCGGTTCGAATCCCTGCGACGGGGTGAGCTCCCGTTGCTCGGTCCCTGCTCCTACCAACCTAGCAGTTCAAAAGCACGTCAAAGTGCAAGTAGATAAATAGGTACTGCTCCGGCGGGAAGGTAAACGGCGTTTCCGTGCACTGCTCTGGCTCGCCAGAAGCAGCTTAGTCATGCTGGCCACATGACCTTAGACATGGCTCCCTCGGCCAATAAAGCGAGATGAGTGCCGCAACCCCAGAGTCGGCCACGACTGGACCTAATGGTCATGGGTCCCTTTACCTTTACGTAGCTTCCTGGGTGACCATGGGCCAGACCCTTTCTCAGCCTCAACTACTCCAAAGGGTTGTTGTGAAGATAAAGTAGGAAGTTGAGAAGAACCATATGTGCTATCCAAACCCATTACAGGAAGGTTGGGCATGATGAAGCTATTCTTTTATTCCACTGGTAGCACCAGTGGTGCTACATTTATTCAGGGATGCGAGTGGCGCTGTGGTCTAAACCACCCAGCCTCTTGGGCTTGCTGATCAAAAGGTCAGCAGTTCGAATCTGTCTGATGGGGTGAGTCCCATTGCTCTGTCCCAGCTTCTGCCAACCTAGCAGTTCAAAAGCACGCTAGTTAGATAAAGCACGCTAGTAGATAAATAGGTACCCTGTGGCAGGAAGGTAAATGGTGTTTCCATGTGCTTTGGCACTTGTCATAGTCCTCCGTGCACCAGTAGCAATTTAGTCATGCTGGCCCCGTGACCCAGAAAGCTGTCTGTGGACAGATGCCGGCTCCCTCGGCCTGAAAAGCGAGATAAGTGCTGCACCCCAAAGCCTCCTTTGACTGGACCTAACCCTCCAGGGGTCCTTTACCTTTTTACCTTACATTTATTCTTTTATCCTGTGAATGATTTTATTACTCTATGCTCCTAACCTCACCTGTAAGTGTGCAGGTTTTGAACCTTCATAACATCCCACCACTCTGGCATCATAGCTTAAGGATCAAGTGTTGTTATATGTTCATTTATTTGACATTATTTGTGCATTTGGTTGTTATGCTGAGGTGGTAGGTTCCCTTTTCCAGTCCTATTGTTCTGCCTTCACTTTGTGACTGTTAGGTCTTTAAATCTCACCAGTTGCTACCAAATGTGAAAGATCATTTCACCTCCTGTGAAAAACCCTACCTTCCTGACACTGACTATCAAATATCTATTCATCTTATTGATTTATCCACCAAATAGGGAGGAATTTGCTTTCTTTCCACTACCTTTCTTTCCTTACATGCAAGATCATTCCCACAACTACCTATTTGCGGAAGATTGCACCATACCAAAATGTAAAATATCTATACCTTAAAAAACCTCACACCACTGTTTATCCCTGGGTGGATGAATGCTACTGATTACCTTTAAGTATTGCATTCACTGCAATTATATCCCCATTTCCCCCTCCAAGGTAGTGTACATGGTTTGAAAGATCCTTTATTTTATTCTCACAGAAACCATGTGAAGTAGGTCAGACTGAGAGATGGTGACAGTGACCTGATGACACCCAATGAGCTTCATGACTGAGTGAGAATTTGAACCCTGGTCTCCCAGGCTCTTTTTCCAGAGTAGCCAGCATGGTGCCATCCAGATGTTGTACTACACTTCCCATTATACCTGTCTATCCAGAGTGTACCACATTGTCTACCCTTCTTCTGTATCTTCCACTGCCACCAACCCTTTCTGGTAGTGTCTCTTATTCCTCTTAGAACACACAATAGCTGAGTTAGACTACAGTGGTACCTCAGGTTAAGTACTTAATTCGTTCCGGAGTACCGTTCTTAACCTGAAACTGTTCTTAACCTGAAGCACCACTTTAGCTAATGGGGCCTCCCGCTGTCACTGCGTCGCCGGAGCACGATTTCTCTTCTCATCCTGAAGCAAAGTTCTTAACCCGAGGTACTATTTCTGGGTTAGCGGAGTCTGTAACCTGAAGCGTATGTAATCTGAGGTACCACTGTATAGGTATGAGAGAAGTCAGACCAGGATATTTATTTTAACGTTGAACTAAATATATTTACTGAAAACTTATTTTCAATATAAAAGAAATATTTTGCGGATTGAGTAGCAAACTATGTTGTAGTCATCAGTGCTTGTTCAACCAATTCTATTACCCAGTTGCTATCATTGTAACTCACAGATTATCTCAGGGGCACTCCTTGAAGACTCAAAGCTTTCCGAGCTCTGTTGCCTGTAGCTGAGAAATCTGGCTTCAGCCTCTATGTACATAGGACCTGCTGGGGACTTTTCCTCTCCTTGTAGACCAGGCATGAGGAACCTGTTTTGGCTGGTGGGTCAGATCCAATAAGTTCCCATTTACAAGAAATCCTAGACACATAGATATAAGAGGTTTGGTATACTTTCATTGGTATGTTGACATCACATGTAAATATGTAGCAGATATAGTTTATAAAATTCACAGCACAGTCCAGAACTATCCTATTATTGTCACAAATATGTTCTATCAAACACAGCTTTATTAAGATCTTTATGACTAAGGTGAAAGATATATTGCGAGCTGCCTGACCAATGTCTGTCTGATGGCAAATATACAAAGTAATAGTGGGTTGCCTGCATTTGTCTTACAATGGTTTTGTGAAGTACGTAACAGATTATGGAACAGAGAAGAAATGTCTAGATAGCATGATGGCTTTCTGGGACATTTACCGTAATTCTGGGATCCATAAAAGGAGAGGCAATCCTTAATTTTAGTGAAATTAACTTAAAGGAAAAGTGCTGAGATGCTAAGAAATACTGATCATAAAGGAGCTGGAATTTTAAATCTTAGTAGCAGAATAGGACAGGAAAAGAAGGAATATCTGACTTTTAAAAGGGCAGCCACTCTATAAAAGGGCACTTGCAGGGTGTACGTGGAAAAGGTTGCTAAAAGGCTTAGAAATATTAGAGATGGAACGACACTATCTCAGAATGAAATCCCATATATGAAGAGAGCCAAGATAATGCCAGTAAGGCTGAATAATATGGTTCACAAGACTGGGAGGTTGCGGATCATCTGTCAAAAATGGGAATTACTTTTCAAGTGATGAAATGCACAACAGGTCTGCATTCTTAAATGTACAATGTCTGAGGATCCTGATAAGCAGCTGGGTAAATACTGGGAAAATATTTAACATAATGCAATCAAACCCTTTTTTATGTTCCAGTGAGTTAAGGGAAGAGTGTTAAGCACATGCTTAACTTGCTTGACTTAGGGCTTAGCCAGAATTACTTGTATCCTTTTCATCTGCCAGTTTTTAAAGAAATGTTCTACACTTGTATTGAACAGGATCCACTTCTTAGCTTCATTTGTTCTTATTGAATGGATTGGTTACAGTAGTACCATGTGATTTTGATGTCAAATTGTTGTGGCTGACATAATGATGTCATGGATGCCTATGCAAAGAAGGAGAAAGGTGTGATAAGCAAGCAGCAGCAGGTCTTCTGAGAACAAGATCTGAGAAACAACAGTAGCTGGATAGAACAAAAACCTGCCAGACAACACTAAAAGAATGGAAATGTTCATTGAGATATTTTTTCAGTAATTACTTCAGATGCACTGAATAAGCTAATTTCAAAGCAAATATAACATTCACTGAATATTCAGTGCAGCCCTCATAAAATGTGCTTAGCTTTGGCTGAGTTGGACACATCGTGTAAAACAGGGATAGCCAACATGGTGCCTTCCAGTTGTTGCTGGACTACAACTCATGTCATGTCAAAGAGGGAGCGGGCAGTAAATCTCACCGTTCAAAGTTGAAGTTAACTCTTTATTAGCAAAAACAGGAGCTTCACAGATTTGGCTGAGTGTCATGCCTAATGAACACATCCCCAGTAGGTCTTACCCCATGAATCAGTTGCCAAGACTGAAAGTTCCTGTCTCCCCACAACCATCCAAGTCCCTTCTTCTCCAGGGCTTTTTCCAGGCAGTCAAAGACTGCACCTGTGTGCAGCCTTCCACTGTTTTGCCCATTTCAGCTCTCATCTTGTTCTGTGAAAGAAGGTTGAGAGGAAGCTTGTAGCAGCACGAGGGGGAGACACCTGTGACTCTTCACCAGCTTGACTCATCTCTGCCTCTTGGTCTTCCTCCACCCATTCGCCTGCTTCAGTTCTGCTTCTGGACTTCTCTCTGCCACCAATTCTCCCAACTCACTTAGCCCTGTTGCCTCTCCAGCATCTGATACCTTCTCCCAGTCTTCTCCCTCTGACCACACATCATTGTTCCCACCAATGTGCCCCAGGCTCTGAGCCTTCTTCTTTTGGTGGTAGAGTTGGTTCCTCCCACCATTCTTCTGTGCCCAACCCGTCCATGGCACGTCAGCCCCAGCCAGCCTGGCCAGTGGTCAAGAATTGCAGGAGTTGTAGTCTTGCACCATTTGGAGGTCACCATATTGGCTACACCTGGTATACAAAGATGCCTGAGAAGTAGGAACCCTCTTATATACACAACAGAGTTGGTGACACACCAGTGAGTAAATGGAGCATTCCGTACGTACAAAGACGTTGCACCAAAAAGCAAACTGAATTCCTCATGGAGAATTATATTGGAGAGATGCTAAAGATCTAAAGCTGTGTGACAGAATGGAGAACAGCTTAAAAAAGAACAAAAAAACTGCAGTAATAAAACTAAGAAGAGATGGTATTCATCAAAGAACAATAAAACACTAAATAGGAAATTATTGGGGAAAAGCTTAGTTTTACATTAGGGCAGGGATGGCTAACCTATATGGCCCTCTAGATGTTGTTGGACTATAGCCCCATCATCCTTAACCATTGGCCACACAGGCTGCAGCAGAGAATTGCATTCCATCAACAGCTGGAACACCACAGGTTAACCACCTTTGCATTAAGGGATTTGATTATTATTTTTTGTAATAATATTTTATTATTTTTTTCCATACAGAAAGTCACATTTGTTACTCAGCAATTATATTCCAATTCAACAAAACCAGTGATCTGATTTCTAAGCGATTACATGGGAAATTGTTATTCATTCAACTTTTCTGCAACAACAGACAGAAATCAAAGCTTCTGCTAATGATTCCATTCAGAGGAATTACGCTCCTGTACAGCTCCATGGGCAGTTTCTCATGTAATAGCTTTCAAAATATAAATCTGTGTTACTTTGGAATTGGCCCTTACTGTGCTGGAGCAATCACAGAACATGTTACATTGACAAATTAACTGCAGTTTGAGTTGACAGGTTTTGTGGTGAGCTGCTGTTTTGCCATAAACACTCTACTGTGTGCAGCAGCCTCTATCGAAAGCGATGTCAAGCAGCCTCCTTGTGGCTACTGGTTCATTGGCATCACACAGAAGATGGGGTGGTTTCCCCTGCAGGAGTCCTCTTTATAGCTTATTCATGATTATTTGCACTCATGATGCCGTTGGAGAAGCCGTATGCAATCCTACTTTCAATACTATTTGCACCAGCAAAAGTTTTGGGACAGTTGCACATTGCTTCCTTTCCAATTAGTGCATATCCTCTAACTTCCAGCTGGAATCCCATAACTTTTCATGCCAAATATGTTGTGGGGTTCCTCCCCCCGCCCCACAGCCCTTCCAGACAATAACAACACAGTAGCATTGGCAAACAGAACAGCTCAGTAGGTTGAGCATGAAACTCTTAATCACAGGGCTGTGGGTTCCCAAGTGCAGTGGTGTGCATGCTAGTCCTTTAAAGCAAAGGTTTTCAAGCTTTTTGACCCCACAGCTCGCTTAACCAACTACATTCTTTCTGCGGCACCCCGTAGGGCTCAGGAGCCCAGTTATGTTACCCCCTGCCTGCAGAGCTGGCAGCTTCTCACCCTTTTTCAAACACCCTCCCTTGTGGAGAGTTTCCTCAGTTTCCTCTCCTCTCCCCTCTCCTTGGGAGTCCTCTGGGCAGCCACTGCCCAAGGGCTCTGAGCTCCTCCCCTGCCCCAAAGAGAGGTGCCTGCCAGACTGGGGCACCATTATTGCCAGGGCTGCTGCAATAAACAGCTCTGCAAGCCTTTGGGAGGCAGAGACACGAGAGGCCATCAGAGAAGGGAGGGAGGGACGGAGGCCAGTGTTGCCCGTGGCACCCCTGACCATCATTCAAGGCATCCCAGGGTGCCATGGCACACTGGTTGAAAACCAGTGCTTTAAAGGATATATAAACCACATTTCCCCCCTCAAAGAATTCTGGGTTAAGGGTTGCTGGGAATTGTAACTCTGTAAACTACAGTTCTCAGAATCCTTTGAGGAAAAGGATGTGCTTCAAATGTGCTTTAAAGTTATAGTGCGTACCGGTGCTATTTTTATAGAAAATGAGGTGCCAGAACTCACTATGAACGCCTCCCTTGTTCTCTTATAATGGCAATGGTGCCCATCTGAGAGGTGCTGGAACTGACTTCTGGTGAGTTCTGGCTGGGGGGGGGGGCTGGTGTTTACACAGCCAATGTCAGCTCTTAAACTGAAAAGGAGAGGCAGTGTTACATCTGCACTGGTCAGTATTACAAATGCAGTAAGACATACAGATATGGGATTCTGGCTTGATTCTGACTGGGCAGCAGCTTCTAGCCACAGCCTCTCATTTTTAGTTGCCTGTGTAGTGAGGAAGTGTTAAAATATCAACCTTACAGGTTCATAATCTTTATTTCTTATTACTTGCTCCACAATTTATTGATAGTAACTTACAGAGTTCAGGTTGACCTGAAGGGAGTAAGCATTCTTGATTTACTCTGCATAGTCACTAGAGTTCATGCACAATTCCCAAAGGAAAATAATACCATCACTGAATAAATGGGACAAGTTCTGCCAGCATTAGTTAGGAAAACACACTTTTAAAAAGTCTCAAGCATAATAAACACTGTTCATATGCAATCGCCTTTCATTTACATGGGGCTTGAGTGGAAATCAAGGCATATTTATTGCAAACATTAAAGGTTGGAAAATACCATATTGAGATGGTACAGTTTAGAAAGACTGAAACATAAATGAAAATGGAATGTGGGAGGTTTAAGTCTCATGGCCCTGATGCTATAGATGTCCAAACCCATCTACTGATACAGCTACATGTATCTATAGCCTTTGTACATCACGTGAATAAAGCTTCATGCAACTCCATTACAGTGGGCTCCCAAATGAAGGTGGCTTTGTGCAAGAGTATATATCCTTTAGGATGGTGTGAAGGTTACGTTGTTTTTCTTGCCATCCCAGCATAAGCCAAACCACAAAATTATGCATTATATAGCTGCTTTTAGAAAAGGTGATCCCCGTCCCCCTGTTCCCATTTGATTTCTCCTTGGATTTGGGGCTTCTGAATGACTTGCTCTCAATCACAGAGTAACACTGTGGGCTAATAGTTTGCCATTCTGTTTTTAACTTCTGCATTTTGTTCTACTGGCTGTGCACACACAGTTTGCTGTAGGTTTTAGTTCTTTCCATTTGTTCACATCTTTCTCTTTCCTCCCAGTTCATATTATTGATATGTATGAGCAGTGGCATGTATTGATCAGACATTGTGCAAAATCTTGGCTGCATACTAACCCGTTCATAGCACTTTCCCCCTTGCCCTCTCAATCTGGAATCATATATGCTCATAAAACATGCTGCTTTCAATTTAGATTAAATCTAGATCCTGACATTCACACAGGTGTGTGTGGTGACTTGATACACATTTGATAACCCTCCCCTTGGTTAGGCTGCCCTTGCCTCCTCCTCCCTCCCCAGGTGAACGAAGGAGGAAATTGTGCTTGCAATCTTGGTGTACCACTGCCGACAACATCTGCTTTAATCTGCTTTCAAACTGACACACTATGGAGTAATGCAGAATCAATCTGCAATGAGGTTTCATTTTTTGGAGTGAAACCAGTTTCTCAAGAAGTGCTTTCAGGGTCAAAAAATATGCAGTATATATAAATTCTGAAATTTGTTTTAGAATTTCTTAATGTTAAAATAGGAAGGCAAGTAGAGCAGAATGCAGAGTCTGGGGAAGAAACCCACTTTTGTATGATGCCCATTTGCCAGTTGCTATATTTTGCAATGCTGGCATCTGTTAGCATAAAAGTGCAAAGTTAGTAGTAGTAATATAGTAATAATATACAGGCTTTAATTTCAAGAAACTTTTTTTGTCATGAACTGTCGGTGCTTTCCTACATTGAACTTTTTTCTGCACCTCATCTGTGATGCTCATATGAAAGCATAGCAACTTGCAGAAGTAGACACTTGCAATAGGAAAGTTAATAGGAAGTTATTTTACCATTCCAGAGCTGTTTGAAATAAGCGTTTAATTTTCCTGACCTTTTTAATGTGCTTCTCTTCCAGTGCTTTCTGCAAAATATCACTAAATGATCTTGTATTCTCAAATGCCGCACATTTCATCCTTGTACAATGGTACCCAAAAAGTCAATGGTTAAAAATTAAAGTCTCTCTGTGTTTAATTGCATTCTATCTAATGGGCGGTTCACGAAGTATCTCTTCTGTGTTTTTTTCTCCAAGTCTCATTTCCACATGTGAACAATCCCAAATGGCTCAAGGCAAACCCCTCAGACTAGCTCAGGACATTTTTATGATTTTTTATATTTTTCTGGGATAATTCTGGAACCAATCCAAATAGATAGCTCACCCCCCCAACCAGAATTCTCTTCTGAAATCTGGTGCTCATTTCATTGAAATCTAGGTATTTTTCCCATTTTTGCACTGGAGTGTGAAACTTGGAACTCTAAGGAAGTTGTTGAAGCAGCTCAGACTGAGAGCTTATATAGTAGCTGAAGGTTCACCTATTCTGGGCTATCAGCCAGGCTGTTGATTCAGGCTTTTCTCCCCTCCTGGGCAGCCGCACATGCAGCTAGCTTGGCACTTTGCTGGCAACCTTGAAACTCCCATCTGTCTTGCCATGCCCTCTGCTGCTGTGACCATGGTGACAGGAAGCTCAAGAGACAAGCAACTCGGATAGAAGCTGCCAGTTCTGGGATGAGGATGGCTGGAGCCAGGAATGCCCAGTAGAGAGGGGCAGCAGCTCACAGTCATTCTGCTGCTACCACTTACTGAGAGGGGTGAGATGGCAGGCAGGTCAGTGCTGTGTAGGTGCACTGGTGGAGCCAACCCACTTGCTCCCGCTGACGTAGCCACACAGCACCAACCTCCCCATTGCCTCTCCCTTCTGGTAAGTGGTAGCAATGCTGCTGCTGCTGCCGCTGCTGCTGCTGCTGGGAGACCAGGTGCATGCCACCACTTTCCCCCAGCAGCTGCTCCTGTGCAGAGATCTGCTGGAGGGTCCTGCTCCCCCTACTCCTCTTTGAGGGAAACCCTAGGTCTAGGCAGAGCTGAACCCTGAAAGTACAAATCGTGTTCAGTAATTTGCTGCTAAAGCAGCTCCTTTATCTGATCTCACCTGGCTGGTGAATAGCTGCTTTGAAAGGGTCATTTTATCATGCCTTCACTGTGTTTCCATGCACACTGCTAGTTGCTGTGGCAGAGGAGATCGAAGCAAGGATGGATGAATGAATGAATGAATGCTCAAGGAAGTTAAAAGGCATTCATTACAACGGTTATTTATAATTATTATCTGTGGCTTTCTCCTTAAAGTTGAACCACATTTTCTGAAAAAGAACTGAATGGTATGTTTTATGCTCCATAATGACCTTCTTAATGGGGTAATGAGATCAATATAGCCTTGCAATCATTTGTTCATTTCTGTGGCTATTATTCACTAGCAGATATTTAGAAAAGCATTTGTATATTGAATTCCAGAAAAAACAATGAGTTTCATTAGCACCTTTTTCTTACAATACAAACTTCATTATGGTGATAAATAAAAACAGGTCTGAAATTGTTCATTCATATATATATATTCATGCATATATACCACACACACTCTTTCAGGTTTCTTGCGTGTGTGTGTGTGTGTGTAATGTGCTGCCTGTTAGGTATATAATATTCTAAAAATTCTGTTTCAGGCTAATACTATTTATAACTTACTGACCTTCTAAATTACAAATTTGTGTTTTATTATAGGGATATGATGATGGATATGGGGGTGAATACGACGAACCAATTTATGAGGCCTATGATAATAGCTATACCACACAAACACAGAGGTAAGCACCAACAAACTAATTTATGGATAAGCTACTTATAGATTTCCTTTAATATCTGTTCTAATCCCTAACTCTGCCAGGAGCTACTGCTAAAACCAAATCTCAATGTATGGTGTCTAAAAACTCCATAAAAGATCCTCAAGGAATGCTAAATTTACCAGGTATACCGACTGTTACCCAGTGAGTAGTGTAATGAAGGTGGAGATTGAACAGCAGAATCCTCCCCAAAACGAAAGTGGAGGGAAGTTCTCTTTCTCAAGTGTTCCCCTCCTTCCCTGTGCCCCCGACTCATAACCCCATCCCATCTAATATTTCTTCTCTAGACTGGATGGCATCAGTCAAGCCTCAAGGAAAAACTAAGAGCAATAATGATTTAACATGAAGTACATAGTTTAAAAGATACTGTGTCTAATCAATATGTGTTCCAAAATATGGACCTAAACCATGGCAGATACACAGCATCATGCCCTGGGCTCAATTTCTAGTACAGGAAAACACTCAAAGATCACAAATAAGATCAGGATCAATAATACAATGAGAATCAGTTCTAAGACAAAGGCTCAAGGTGGCACATGAAATAAAAACTCTGAACCAAGACTCTGGGTGTGGAACAAAGCAAGGCAAGCAAAAGTCATGAGTTGATGAGTCAAGTCAAAGTTGAAGGAGGTAGAGAGGCTGAACCTGTGAGTTAACCACTTAAGGATGAATCCAAAAGCCAAAAGCTTTCTAGGCAAGGCATATGAGAAGGCTCCTGAAAAGGATGGGTTGAATAATTGCTTTTGTGTATTGCTTTCCCCTCTTTTATGGAAATAAAGGCAGAAGATGTAAAGTGTGCACAAGAATAATAGGGTCACAGGTCATTTTGTCAGCTATGCCTCTTTTTCTATTTGAACTGTGAACCTCTGTTGTATAAGATCTAAAAAGTTAGCCCTCCATGTGTTTTGAGTCATCATGTTGGTTTTGGAAAACTCTGCCCTAAAGCTAGCTGAGAATCAACTGCAAAGTTAAGAAATAACAAAGAAACCAGGACATAGCTTGCTTACAAGGCAAACCGAGGTGAGGCAGTGAGGCATAGCTGACTAGAGGAGTCAGCAGTCCCAAAACATGGTAAATGCTGCTCCACACACTGTGTTCCAAAAGGTCTTAAAGCAGAGAAGCTTTGGGGTCTAGACCACAACTGCAACTCCCACCAAGTGCTCTGAAACCCTAGCGCAGATCAGATGCTAGAGTGGCTGAAGTAATAATTGCAGAAGCAGCTGCAGGAAGTGAATCCTGACATCAGCTGTTCAGCATATTTTGCCACAGTGACTGCCTACTCATCAGAGCATAAAACGCCTTAAAATCACTGCTGCTGATTTTATGACACAATAAAAGAGAAGGTGGTGAGGAGCTGAAGGAAGGAAGGCAGGCCAAAGCCAAGTAGTAGTAGTAGTAGTAGTAGTAGTAATAATACCACCCTTTATCTGAAGATCACAGGGCAGTTCACAACATAATGATTGCATTGGAAGAAACAAAGGAACCCAAGATTGTATGTTGAAATAGGAATAGGGATTTCAAGCCTGGCAAGCTGTCTGCACAATCATTCCCTTGAATGATTGTGTGGCTGGTCCCCCAATATCAATGGCATATTGCTACCTGTTTATTCCATTAACTTCTTGCCTCAGGTTCCTGCTCATATGGAATGCTCTCTCTCCAGTAGTTCTCAAAATCACATATTAAAAACTATGTAATAGCTTGCTGTATAATGCTTGCAGTAATATTCTCAGCAAAACTGAATCATGTTGATTTAATAATTCAGTTTTATTGGAAGACTCAAGACAGCAGCCATCCATTGAGATTGAATTTACAATCAGTTATTGAGTTGAAGGGATTTTCTCCCTAGTTATTCTACTTCTATCCTGTTATTATTTCCCTGCCATCTACTAGATTGTTATGCTGCATGTCTTCATTTCTTAAGAGGTTTAAAGCCTTTACTGAGACAACAGGAATCTTTCACTCACTGCTTTGTTCAACTGAAGTCCAAAATAACTTTCATTTCAATCCACAACAAAATTGCTTCTAGAATTAACTAGGATTGCCAGATTTAGAATGAAACATGAGCTTTTGTAGTTGTACAGAAAGGAGAATTTTGGCAGGTGCAATTTTTCCTGATATGATAACAGCATGGCAGGATTTGTTTGTTTGAAATAGTCATTTAACACCCCTCATTAGAACAAGATTCCAGGGTGACTTACAAAAGTACAATTAAAATATAAACCAAGTGAAATACAAAGCAATTAAAACAATCATTAGCACAGCAATAGATAAAAAAAACCCAAGGTACAGGGTTGTATTCAACGAGAGTGTTCCGTTCATGCAAGGTCTTCTTCCTGTACAATGGAAATTTCACTCCCTCTCCTTCCTTCCTTAAACCCTCCCACCAAATATGTTCTGGGTTTCCCCTAACTCCCTGCAACACGTATGTGGAAGAAGAGAGGAGAGGGGAATTCTATTGTGCAAGCAGAAATCCCAACGTGAATAGTACAATTTCATTAGACATAACCCAAAATATTTTTATATTAACCTTGCTACATTATTTCTTCTATTGGTAAATGGGATTTTTGTGCTCCTAAAAAAAAAGTGTGTGTGTTTTTTAAAAAATAGACTAATTGTAGAATGAGATGGTACATTCTTTAGCAAGAATGTTTGACTTTGCCTCTTTATTCAAACATATGCAAGGCATCTTGTATTTACAGAGTTTTGTGCCGGGGGAGGAATCAGATTGTATTGTGTATAGTTACAGATAATCTACAACTTGGAACTGAGAAAGTTCCTGCTGCTGTGAAAGTATTCATGGCAATGTCATCTTGTTTCTGTGACAGTATTAATGGCAACATGCATCTTTGGGTTCATTTAGATGTGGGGATTATGACATTAATCCTCCTTCTTTCAATGCTAGCACTTCTGTCCTGGTTTTTGACATCCCTTTTACACTGCAGTTCCTGTTGTATTGTGACACTGGTGGGTTTTTTAATTGCTATCCCACCATGTCACGCTAACTTTTATTCACCCCAGTGGGTGTCACTGGACATGCCACTACCACCACTCTCTATGTACATATGTGCTTCTGTTCCCCCTGTAATATGCACCCCCCAAATGCCAGGAGACCGCCCCAAATTTCATCAAGTGAGCAGCAACGGCATGAAACCTTCAGGGAAATTACAGTGCAAAACTCCTGCAGTTTTCCAGGTTAACAGGGTTGCAAATGGAAGCAATTAACATGGAAATGAGCACTAAACTTCCACTAGAGTCTGCTACATTTCCAGAAGTGACTTTTACATCATGTGAAAGATTACGTAAAACATGGGAAATTATCAGGTTAAGGAAATGTATGGAAAATGGAGTGAAATGCTGTCTGAATGCAGCCTTTGTCTTTTAGATCGCTCTAGAGAAGTCATGCTAATAAGTTAAATCCCTCTTGGTCCAATAAGCTCAGCTTCCAGTTTAGTGTAAGCCCCTTTGTGATCAGGATCCTGGGTGGTATTCAACAAATTTTTCCTGCTAACGCAAAGTTTAGCGCTAGTAAAGGAGATCTCACACACACACCCATGAACACCACGTACCATCCCTCAATCTGCTCTGGAAGGTTTGTTGAACCCTCAAAACATATTTAGGGGGAGGACGAAAGAAAATTGTTCTGTTCTGCAAAGAGAAATCCTTTGGCTGATGGAACGATCAGCTTTGCCTCTACATTGAATGCAAGCCTTACAATCTAGTTAATGAAAGTGTTTGTTCCTAAACACCTTTGTTCTTTAAGCAGGCAACATAGCTGTATTTTTCTCCTCGCAGAGGGTCCTTGGGAATCCATTCAGCAGCAGTGAATATCAGATTCATTTGCATTATTTGGGGCATTTGGAATGGCTGGAATTTCACACGTAAAAAGCCTACCATAAGAATATGCTATGGCTATTAGTAGTAATGGCTGAACTGACTTCATAAATCAGCTAAACATTACTCAAGACTTTATAACATTTTAAAATGTCAGCTTTAATTTTCATATAATTTTCTTTCTGGAGATGTTGCAGTCCTTATTGTTATACCAATTCTTAAACTGGAAGCCAAGCTTATTAGGCAAATGGCACAGAAGACTAAGAGAGATTTAATTTGTTAGTATGACATCTCCTGAGCAATCAAAAAGAAGCACGTTGTCATTTACACTTTCACAGTAACATTTGCAAGTGAACTTCCTTAACACCAAGTTGTATATTATCTGTAAGTAGCACACAATACATTTCCCCTCTTACACTAAATTGTGTAGATATACTAAGGTTACCAAAAGTCCCCGTTTCCTGGAGACAGTCCCCGGATTTACAAATCAGTCCCCATACAAAATCCATTGAAGTTGAAAAGTGTCCCCGGATTCATTGAAAAATATCTGGTAACCTTAAGATATACAATTCCTTGAATACATTTAAATAAATGGAGGCAAAATGAGCTATTCTAGCAGAAGTGTAGTATTACCTAATTCTACCATTAGTCCAATAAATGTATTTTAAAAATTGGTTTCAGGATGCTGAAATCAAATCAGTATTTAAAATCCATTCTGGCGCTTACCATCTCGATAACCTCTCCCTGCTGCTTTGGCTTCACGTTCCCCAGTCTTAAGAAGTGCCTCGCTTTTCTATTTCCTTCTCACAAACACTACTTCCTTCCTTCCTTAGGTATTATGTGAAGTTTCCACTTGGACTTCTCCTTTCCTCATCCCCATGTTTCTCTGCCATGTTTTTCCCCTCATGGCAGTGGCGTCTCACAATTCAGTGGCGCCACACGTGACGTCAAAGTCCCGCCCCCTGCCTCTCGCTTTCCTTTTGGATGCTGTAGTTGTGGCACCTGCTGCAGTGCCTCAGAAGCTCTGCCCCCAGTGTGACCAAACCAGCCTCGCTGCCTTTGCTCAGAGGAAATGTCTTTGCTACCCCATCGTCTCTTCATCTCTCCACTTCTCAGCTTCTTGCCTTCTCTGT